CAACATCCTTATCGAAGCTTCTTTTAACACTTTAACCATCTATTCATGATGGAACTGACCCACGTGGGGCTTTTCCTGCATGCAGATGTCATCGGTGCACTTTATTAGTGTGGTTTCAGTCCCTATGTCTATAAAAACGATCTGAACATGAAGTCAAACTGACCTGCAGGAACAGATTACAAGTTGAACCCGTCATTCATACGTAGCAACAACCCCTGAGTGATGCTTTTTCTGCACTTTCTCTCTCTATGTGTGTGTCAAACCAAAGTTGCTCTAAACACGGCACTGCTTTTTTCTACTAATAGGCCCAATGCTCACATCGCCGTGCTCTGACTGACCCTTGAAAAGTTCTCACCGCGTCAGCACTCAAAACAGGCTTCTTTCCTCCCGTTGCCCTCAGAAGCCCTCCGTACGTCCTCTAAGTTTCTGTTTTCTGGTTAACTCGCCGTTGCTGATACTTCCAGCGCCGTGTTTCCATCCGCCCCCTCGTTCCTCCTCTTTGAATTTGTCACATGGGCAGATGCACTACCCACATCCCTATTCAGAGAGAGAGAGATTTTGAAAAGAGGTACCCCCCTGCTCTATAATTTGGATGGGAGGGAGGGAGCAGTGAGGGGGCTAAAGGGGAGCTGTGGGTGAAGGAAGGAGGGGAGGGTGGCAGTTTCCATAGAAACAGCTTTGCTCTGTTCATATTTTAGATCACTATCTCGGATTCTGGATGAAGGAAGTTAAACTACCAGCCATTTTTGGGGATTTCTCTTTGTGTTGAACCTAATGAGGCTGTCAATCTCCAACCGCCTGTAGAACAAGTGCAAAAAAACGAGTGTGACGGCTACATCAAAGACAGGAAAGCTAAGAATGCATGTTTCCTTTGTAAGACTGAAAAATGGAGAGTTTTCTGCACTTTGAGCAGAGGTGGAGAGCACGTTGACTCACCTGAGTTTGAGCTTTTGTGTTTCAGGAGGGAATTCGTGCTGTTTACTCCTCTATAGTTGTTAAGTAAGTGTGTTAGTGTGCCGACAGCAACAAGCCCACGATGGCAATCAGAGCATCCAGATATTCACCGTCTTTGTTTGGCTCGTTGCTAACATTTATCGATCAGCGGTAAACACAGAGCTGAGGCTGATAGTGTCACTGATTTTTTCTTTTACAGGCGTTTGCTCATAAACCAAAGTATCCTAAACATATGAAACAGACAGAATCAAAGTCATCATGAGTCTAGAAACCACCACTCATGGTTAACTGGGCTATTTCACTGAACTCTATACGCACACATGCACTTTACACGACTGTAATTCACTTTGTCACTGCAATCGTCACTTCATGCTGCTGTTTTTACACACATGATGTCATCTGGTTCAGCAGGATGCGCATGACAATAAACCTCTTGAATCTTGAATCATGTGTGCATAAAATTAGGAGCTAATCCGTCTGCGTCGCCTCTCCGTCATCCAGGTCGTGGTAATCCTAAGTGCTTCAGTAGAAGACAGCTGGACTTCTCGTTGGTTCCTAAAGCAGTTTAACCTCCCATCCATGAGGCCTCTTCAGCTCCATGTTTCATTCTCAATCCCAAATCACATCGTTCTTGTCCTGTGACTCGAGCTGTAAATGGCTGTAAAGCTGCCTTGTGAGAGATCTCTGGACTGCGTTATAAGTCCTGCTGTCTTCTGAAGTATTTAGAAGACATCCATCCATCCATCATCTCTACACCTTAATCCTCACTAGCATCATGGGGGGCTGGAGTCTATCCCAGCTGACTCAGGGTGAAGGCAGGTTCACCTGGACAGGTAACCAGTCTATCACAGGGCTACACTTAGAGACA